GGCAGACGCTTAACGACTGAGCCACCCAGGCGCCCCCAGAGGTGCTTCCTTTGTGATGTCATCAGCATCTGCCTCTGACCTGGCCCACTAGAAGTTTCTAATATTGATAATTGGTAGTGGCTGTTGGTGGTGGATGAAAGTGACCTCCCACCAGTCATGAATTTCCCCTCTTCCCAGAGAGAAGTACTAGTAAAAGAGGCTACTACAAGCTAAAGCATCTACCTGGTAGAGCATTGGTGAGTGGGGCTCTGGCCTGAGGCCAGGGGTAAGGTGGGGCAGGGAGGCCAGGCTGTGCCAGCAGAGGGGAGGCCTAAATTCTCTGCCACGGAGGGCCAAGTAGTTATTGGGCCCTGGCTTCTCCACTCTGGCCCCATCAATGAGGGGAATGCTAGTTTCCAATGAAGGGTCAGTGCTATGTTTCTGGACTTAAGCCTGAAGCCTTGTTCTATCTTGAAATCTACAACCTCATGTCTGGTTAGACGGAAGACACTGGAAAAATAATTTTCCACCCCAAAACATTGCTTCCCTACCTTCTGCACAGGAAATCAAATTCCCTCCTGTTCAGAAAAGCAGATTAGAGTGTGTGATAGAAACCCAAGCTCCAAAAATGGACTCACATTCTTGGAGAGCTTTGATTTGGCTCTTGGGGGGTTAGTGGATACCTTAGAGTATCTGGATTGTCATTTAAAGTATAAATAGTGATGTGGTTCTGCCTTAAAAATACTGTCCCTATTAGTGGCATGAGTTTACATTCTGGGTCCTATAGCAAAATCTGTGGAGTCTCATACCCATCACCTCTGGTCCCACAGCCACCCTCCCCTGCTCACTCCCTAGCAGTCTTATCCAGCACTCAGCAGTCTTGACCCAGCACCAGGTCTGGGGTGATGGGGACTTTAGTGTAGCTGTCCTACATTGAAGCCTAAAACCAGTTGAGTCTAATGAAAAATAGGCAGTGAGCACATCTAGCTAGCTCTTTCTTGGGTCTCCCACCTTTCCCCTGTCATTTTGAGTTTTCCTGAACATCCCATCTGGGCAGTACAGAAAGGTCATGAACAGTTGTGTAGATTGTGTACAGTTGTGTTTGTTTTTTGCAATTACATTCAGTTCTGCAATGAACATCCTTGTGTATGTAGGTCTTTATGAGCTCAGGGGAATGTTTCTGATGAGATAATTTCTAGACAACAGTGGGGAGGTCCCAGGGCCACTGTGGGCCCATAATACTCTTGTGAGGGCTCTGCCCCTGCACTTGTTCACTAGGATAGTCGAGGACCTCAGGCAATTTCACTGATCGATAATCCAAATCAGTAAGACCTCACTAAGCTCTGGAATCTACCCCCCCCCCCCAGACACACCAGTGCCATTAAGAAGTATTTATTGAGTTAGGGCACTGTGCTAGATAATAGGAATCAAAAGAAAAAGGAGATACAATCTGACCAATAATCTAGTAGGGGACAAGGTAAATATCAATGAATCAAAATCTTTGCTTTCTGACTCTTGAAGAAAAGTATCATTTTGGATGGCTGAGTTTTCTGGACGCTGAAGCTCTCTACCCTTAAACATATATGTTTTATTTTATGTTAACCATTTTTGATCAGAAATACTTTCTAAATTAACATTGCTTTCATTTTAAAAGAAAACATTTGATCAGAATTAACCTTCTCTTAATGATTCAGCATGTTTCCAACATTACCCTGTAATACACTGACGTCCCCAGGCCTCTTGGAGTCACCCTGAGCTAAATGACTCTGACTTTGTTTCATAGTTGTTCTATCTTCTCTTGCTCTTGACTTTTGCTTATTTCACTGTGCTTATTTATGAATCCTTTCTTCTTCCAGTGTGCCCCTGCTCATCTGCTGTGGGTTTGATAATCAGGAAACTAGGTTTATTAGTTAGGCTACTGGTTCAGCTGTTGTCACAGAGACCAAGGTGGTCAGCAGTCCAAGGCTCTTCTCCTCCAGGTCATCAGGTCATCATGAAACTCAGGTTCTCAATGTCTTGTTGATGGGGCAACCCTAGGGTGTTGTCCTTGCTAGCTTCATCAGAGCTGCCCCCACCCCATCCCCATGCCCATGATCCAATCTGCACAAGGGAAAGAGGAAGTGGGGAGTAAGCAGCTTCCTTTTAAGAATGTGGCCCAGTCAGGGCGCCTGGGCGGCTCAGTTGGTTAAGCGACTGCCTTCGGCTCAGGTCATGATCCTGGAGTCCCGGGATTGAGTCCCGCATCGGGCTCCCTGCTCAGCAGGGAGTCTGCTTCTCCCTCTGACCCTCTCATGCTCTCTCTGTTTCATTCTCTCTCTCAAATAAATAAATAAAATCTTTAAAAAAAAAAAAAAAAAAAAGAATGTGGCCCAGAAGTGAATGAAACACATCACTTTCACTCATATCCTATTGGCTAGAACTTAGTCCTGTAGTTGCTCCTGGCTGCAAGGGAGGCTGGGAAATGTAGTCTCTGGCAAAGTAGCTATGAATCCAGGTTTTAATTTTAGAAGCTCTACTGCTAAAAAGAAATGGGAAGGAAAGATCTAAGGGGACCCTTGACAGTCTCTGCCACACTGGATCTGTTGAAATTGTGTGTAGAGTAAATGTAGGTGGGCTCTCATTGAAGATACAAGGTGCTCTTCTGCAGAAAAATCACCAATTTTGACAGTTTGACAGTTCCATCTGTTTGGATTGCTCAGAGGCCTTTGGTTTCTTTGCAGTTGTTCTGGATTATGTTCCCAGACAAGACAGTGGAGGTTAACAAAACAGCCATAAAGACAATGGCCTAGCAGTCATTGTCTTTCACAGAGCTCCTACCTCAATCCACATAAGAGCAGGAAAAATGTTCTCAGCAGCCACAAGCTGGAAGCACCTTCCTTCAGAAGCCTCCCAAGTCCACAAAGCCTCAGCTATTCATTTCTATGCACCTTTACTGAGCACCTCCTACCAGCTTCACCCTCATCTAGGTGGTTGGTGTTCGGTTGGTTAGGACACTGGTTAGGACTCTGGGGTCATGTCTTTGATTGTATCACTGTAGAGCCCACCTGGCATTTTCATGGGTTCTTGTTCCTCCTCTTCTGTGTCTCCCTTTAGTGTACATCCCTGATGCCTCCTAGGTCTTGCCTCCAGGAGCGGGAGTGGGTTGGATGTTGTCTTATCAGTCTTATCCCTTGCTGCTGCTCAAAAACTTTCCATGGCTCCCTTTGGCCTACCTAGTGAAGTCCAACCTTCAGAGCCTTGTCTTTGAGGCCTTTGAAGACCTGTTTCCAGCTTTCCATTTTGGCCTCAGCTCCCCCCAGAGGGCATGGCCAAGGGTCAGGTTCATCTAGGGAGGCAGGCTGCACAGGGTCTGTGTGGATGGCACCATGGCAAAGGGTTTGGAGAGCTGCTGAAACCAGCTCTTGGTCTGGGCCAGAATACCCACAATGCAGTTTCCTCCCAGGACACTCAGTCGAGGATGCCTGGGAATTTCAGTGTTGGGTCTTCCCTCCACTTTATCTAGGTCTTTCCAGGAAGGGAGAGATTAACAATGACCGGCATCTTCTGTATGTGAAAAACTGAGTTAAGTACCTTCTATGCATTTTATATTCCCAGCCACCCTGTGAGGTAGGTACTATTATCAGACTCCTTTCATTTGCCTCAGGGCACCTGTTTTACAGATGAGGAAGTTAATCTCAGCCTGGGTAAGTGACTTGTACAAGACAAGGTCATACAGCTAGTAAGAGACGAACGTCCAGATCTGAACCAAGGTTCAACTGGGTCTGAAGACCATGTTTTTTCCACTTAACACAGGGCCTTTCTAAAGGAACAGCTATTAGCCCCATTACACAAGACCCTTAGTCCTTCCACCCTGTGGTCAGACACTAGTTCAGTAAGGAGGAAGCAGAGAAAAGAGACAACAAGCTGCTTCTGTTCAGGCTTTTTTCTCTCCCACCAGTACCCAGTACCATGACAATGGCAACAACCACTAATATTCACTGAGCATCTACTTTGTATACAGTATCTCATTTCATCCTCATAGCCATCCTCCAACATTATTATCATTTCCCTCATTTTACATATGCAAAGACTGAAGCTCAGAGAGGTTAAGCCCCATATTTAGAAGGCCCAGCTGGGATTCGAATCCAGGCAGCTGGAGTTCTTAAAGGTTGCTCTTGCATTTATCCCGCTGGGAAGCAACCCATGAAGACATAGCTCCCCTCCCCACAGCATCTCTTACCTTGTATTCAGCTGCTTCCTCTCCGGTCTTCTCATCTGATTGCTAACAACTCCTAATGATCAATATCTTACCCTTATAAAACCATGGACAGTCCCTTTTCAGCTCTCCTTACCCATTAGCTATTGTACTGAAAGTACAGGATGATGTCTATTAAATAAACGTGCCTGGGCCCCTGCCTGGGGAAGTGAGAGCGCGTTCACAGCTACCCCTTACTCTGCATACTGATCTTTGGTGGGGGGGGTTCAAACACTGGTACCTGCCTCCAGGGCCCAAAGTAGCTGTCTTTAGCAGAATAGCCAGGACTTTGATGAAACTGGAGACATGCAGGGGACTGTGGCCCAGGCAAACTGGAAATGACCCAGCCCACTCCTTTGGGCTTCCCAGGCAGGGCTGTGGCCAATCTGTAGATCTCTTCTCTGCTGGGGAAGAAGGAGGGGGTACCAGCCATTGGGCACCAGGAGCCCGTCCCAGGGCGGGGCAGAGCCCTGCTACCTTTGTGTGGTTGTGCATCTTTTCTTGCTTTGGCTGGCACCGGTGGGGAGATTCGGAAGGGGGACAAGCCTCAGAGGAGAGCTTGGGGTAGGGGTGAGGTTGTACGGTGAGCAGAGAACAGCAAGACAGCTGCCGAGGGCCAGGGCATCAGGGGGTGCTGGAGCGATTGCTGCAAGGGACCGGCAGCCTCGTGCGTTTGCGATGGTAATTTGCAGATGGTTCCTGGTAGCGACAGGGTCTCTGAGGCGGAGCCTGGGCCTTTGTATATGATAATCCGGCCCGGGTTCCCCGGTGGGTCAGAGCAGCCTTGGGGCGGAGCCAAGGTTGGCTCCAGCCGGGGAGGAGCCGGGATGCCGCTCCCGCGGTGATGCAGAGGGGAATTTGCTGACAGTCCCTTGCCAGGTGGGGCTGGTTTCACCAGGCCCGCGAGGAGGACCGGCTGGCTGTCTCCTCCCAGGTAAGGAGCGTGTTGCCTGTCACCGTATCCCGGCGGCCGGAGCACCCTGCCTGGGGCTGGGCCGTGACGCCCAGGGCGCAGATGTGGTGAGCACGCGGGTGGTATAAGCCAGGACTGATCAGGCCGGGGGAAGGGGCGCAGAATCCGGGTCCTGGACAGAGGAGGGGGTGGGGAGGGACTGCTGCTCTAGGCTTTCCGGGACCTCGGACTGGGAGGGGTGGGGGTGGGGGTGGGGGAGACTGCGCCACACTCCCTTGCCACGCAGGCTGGCTGGCTGCCGGCCTGGACCCAGGGAAGGGTGGAATGAGCTGCCCGCCAGGGAGGGCCGTGGCTTGGTCGAGCGTCTTCACTGGGTTGGGGGGAGGATGGGCGGGAGGCTCCCCACCCCCACCCCCACCCCCAACCCCACCCCAACCCCCGCCTGCCTGACAGCCAGGTGGGGTTGGCTCTCTGGACCACCCCCACCCAGGGGTTCCTCGGGGCTGTGCCGCCCACTCGCTGGGCTGGGCTGGGAGGGGTGTGCGCTCCCCCCCCCCCCCCCCCCCCGCAGTCTACTTCGCCGTTATGGGTTCTCACAGCGTCACTGCTGCCGGCTGCCGGGTGGGGGGTCTCATTCTGTGCTACTGGGCTGGGCTCCTGGGCCCCCAGGTTTAGAGGATGCCGCCTTTTCTTATATGCTTTCAAAGAAAGGTTCTTGCCTCCATCCCCCCCTTGGCCTTGAGAGAGAAACTTCGGATTTGGGTGATGGACCTGGGGAAACTGAGGCCCAAGCAGGGGTGCTGTGGCTTCACCAAGGTCACTTAGCAGGTCCCACAGAGCTGTTCTCCCAGGCACTGCCTTGACCATCTGATGCTCCCAGGAGAGGCAGGGGCCAATCTTGCTCTCTGGACCTCTGGTCCAATTTGGGGTGGACCACCCCACTGCAGGGCCCCCTTTCCCTATCCCTGAGAATGGAGGTTACAACTTATGCATGGGCTCTAAGGTGTTATGGGTGTGAACACTGCAAGGATAAGAATTGTCTGGGGACAGAAAAAAATCGCTGGTGAAAAATGCTCATCTGAGCAGAGGGGACTGTGGGCCTCTACTAGCCTTATGGGTTCAGGGAGAGAGGGAGAGTTGGCTTCTGGGAGAGGAAGACCCAAGGGGGCAGCCCAGTTCCGGGCTTCAGTCTCTGATGAAAGCCTTGATGAAAGCCACCTGCAAGTTCCCAGGCCGCTGTGGGAAGGACAGGGGACGAGGAGATGGACTTTCTCCTTTGACAGCCTGTATCTCACTGGAGAAAGGCTGGGGAACCATGTTGGTAAGAAGGCCTTCTCTCGATGCCACCCTCTGTTCTGTGGCATCTCACCCTTGCTCTTTCCCTAACTCCTGTCCCCAGGGGAAATGGACTACTGTTGGGTCTGTGGCTCTTGGAGGTGAACTCTTCCCGAATTCACCTTATCCTCCTGTCTGAAGCAGATGCCTTTCTCTGGAGGGAAACTGAGGTAGGGAGAGAGCTATATTTTATTGGAGAGCTAGAGCCAGCCAGCGCCATGGTGCAGGCGAGGAGACTGAGGCACAGAGGGTATAGTGAGTTGCTCCAGGCCTCTCACCTACACACAGGTCTCTACTCCCTGGCCCACCACAGGGCTGTGGATGAGGCCCCTTCCTCTCTCTTCTCCGTGCACAGCCCCCAACCCTGGTAGGGTGAGGCCTTGAGTGCCTCCTGAAGGGTGGAGGGAGCTGTCAGAGAGAGGGGACAGCTCCAGCATTTTCTCCTTCTTTACGAGATGCTTTCAAGTTAGAAAGAAAGAAGCAGCTAGAAAAGGGGAGCCACATCACTCAGTTATCTTCCCATTGTGCTCCCACAGGGGACGCAGGGTTTCTGTGGGGCTCTCAGGGGCAAGTGCACCTCTCCCTCCTGCCCCTTGGGCCAGCAGTTGTGACCACAGCTGGGAGAGGACCCATGGGGCCAGTGACTTCATTTCCCTCTCTGACAGCATGGCCGGATGGCAGTTCCTGCCCAGCCCAGCCTTATTCTGAGTGAAAGGGAGTTAGCTTTTGCCTGGCGCATGAGGTGGGGCTCTTTGGACACACCCCCTGAACACAGAGACCCTGAAGCCGGACCCTGGTGATTCTGCAGCATGGCTTGGGCTGCCTGGGGATCACTAGTAACCACTGAGGTGACCTGTGGAAAGGGATGGGGTTCCCAGTAAACCAGATCAGAACTAGCTGCCCATGGACTGACAGAACAATGCTGGAGAGAGAGGAAGACCCGTCGTGTACCCACCTTCTCTGCTGGGATGCCCTGAGGGTCTCCAGGAGGATGGCCACTGCCCCGTGGTTCTGGGAAGCTGGTGGTGTGTCCCTCCTGGCCCAGCAGAGGCGGGGTCAGGCTGCAGAGAGGCTCCTGGCTTGTGGGAGAGGAACCACTCGCGGAGGAGCATGGTTTCTGGTTCTGGACCAGAGCCCCTATTGGCTGGCACCCCTGCCCTTGGTTTTCCTACCTGACAGCTGGGCATGAAAACACCTTCCCCAGCTGGGTCAAAGGGCTTTGGAAACATGTCATACATTTATTACAGATGGGAAGTGTTATTCCTGGAGACTGTGGTGTAGATCGAAGCCTGTCCCCTGTGGCCAGTCTAGGGCACCCCTCGAAGGCTTGGAAGGCAGGCTGTCCCTCCCAACGCACCTCAGGGTGTGTTTTGGCCCTTGAGGGCTTCCATTCCCCTTGGTTGGCCGCCTGTGGTAGTTGCCAGGATTCCCTCCCCCACCCCCCCGCAGTAAAGAGTAAAGTACTGGTGACTGGGGGCACAGTGGACTTTACTGCCGGCCTGTATCCTTCCCACTGACTGTCACAGCCCAGGGACACTCTCTCTCCTCTGGTTCTTCCTGGGAAGCAGCTGGTGGAAGAACCGTGGAGATAATGGGCTAGAAAGTGCTGGGAGCTCTTTGCATACAGTGTCCAGGGCGCAGGAGTCCATGGGGCCTTCGGGGCCTTCAGGGCCGCGGGCAGGCTCACTCTGGGACCGGCTGTAATGAAAATGCTCTGAGGAAGTGAGATCAGCAGCTTGAAGGCTCCGGTTTGCCTGAGGCAGGGCCCCGTGTCCTCTCTGTCCTGGGAGAGCCGGGTTTTCCTGGGTTACTCACCCATCAGCATGGGTGGTGTGGACCGGACTCCCCATTCTTGTTATGACTTGGCTGGTGCAACTCATGCAAAATAGGGCTGCAGGGGGAGCTGGGATGAGAACCCGGGGAGCTGGGATGAGAACCCGGGCAGCTCATGAGGCACCGTGGGTCCTTGTCAGAGAGCTGTCTAGACTGCTGTGGGCAAACTGAGACAGCTTTTGAGAAGAGCACCTGTGGCCAGAACCCTGTGTCCCGTGTTTCTAGGGCAGGGAACGCAACCAAGCTGCCGTGTTACTTCCCAGCACCCTGCGGCTGCTGAAACATGCAGAAGCAGGGTTGGCGGGGGTGGGGGGATGCCCGCGGTCACCCCCTGCCTCCTCCTGGTGATCCGGATTGTTCCAGGAGGGAACTGAAGCCTGGACCCGCTTGCAAAACCAGGATCCAAGTGTCCTGGGCTCCCATGGTCTGTCTTTCCCACCCTCCCACCCTGCTGTTCTGCACGAGCACTCTCAAGGCAAGATCAGCCGAGTCTTCTCAGAATTGTGCCCAGCCAGAGGGTCAGTGGCCTCAGGCCACGGGATCCTGTCAAAAGAGAAGGGCATCCTGAGGTCTTTGGAGATACAGATGGGCTAGGTGTGCCTGTGGCCACTTGGCTGAGGATGTGACCGTGTGCTGGGCTCTGATGTGGGGCCTCATCACCTCAGGTGTCCGAGAGGCAATGACTGGACCGTAGGCTGGAAATGCTGCAGAAGGCAAATGAGCCCCGTGGGGACACCAGCTGGGCTGTGTTGGGGGGGGCATGGAGCATGAGGGACAAGTCATACACAGACACCTTGTCTGGGCGGCACTTGGGAGCTGAGTTTCCACCTGCTTCATTATCTGCTTCACTTTTATCTACGGGTCTCCTGTTCACAACCTGGTGAACAATCCCCGCTGCAGGGGACCAGCCAGAGGAGGAATGGCGAAGAGCAGAAAGGCGCGCGTGCCTATGTGTGCTTGGAACCGGGAGCCCCCGTCTTTCCACGCGCCCCCCCTTACCTGCCCAGTGGCAGGCTGTCCAGGGTCTCTGGGCTGGCCGTTCTGGTGGCAGTGGCTGACCAACAGTGCCAATTGCTTCGGGCACTGTTTGAACTGAGCTGTTCCCTCCAAAAGAGCTGGCAGATGGCAAGGTCTTCTCAGAACCAGAGGGGGTGTGTGGGGCGTGGGGGACGGGCGTGGGGGATGTCTGTCCTTCAGTAGGACCAGAGCCCTTTTGGTCTGGGATCTCATGTGCCCAGACCTGCAAACTGGGCCAGGCTTTGGAGAGAGCCACTCAGGCAGTGGAACTGAGTGACCAGTGCCACTGACTGACCTCACATTCCTTGTGATTCCTTTAATCCAGGGGAGGGGCAGAGCAGGTGGGAGTAGCCCACTTGATAGATGGGAACGCTGAGGCTCAGAGAGGTTTTAACAGGCACAACCACACGCACGCACGTAGGCACCAAAGCGGCTCCAGGGCTGTCTGACTCCCGTGGAGTGGGTCCCTTGTCCCCAGAGCACGGCTGACACATCCTCCGCTCACCTATCGCCGCTGCTGATGGTTTTGCTGAAGTGGCTTAAGACAAAAGGACTTGGAAGTGAAGGTCGTGCGTGTCTCCCCTTTCTCTCCACTCTGGGCCGGGTGCCCAGAGCCGGACTCTGCTGAAGGACAGCAGGGAATATGGAAGGACAGGAGGGAATATGGAAGGACAGGATTCCCACCCCACCCTCACCCCAGGCCCTGGGGCGCACTGCAGGCTTGATCAGAGGGGCTGAGCTAGACAACGGGAGGAAATTCAGTGCAGGGGCCCTGGCTTCGTGCTTCCGGGAGGGTCTCCCCAGCACCCTGGCCTGGGCACCTGCCTGGAATAGCT